GGTGGGGGGGGGTGGGGGGGGGGAACACGCCAAGATTTTGGAAAGTGGTCAAGGGCTGCACTCTTCCAGGATATGAATGGAGGAATTCCAGGATCTGGAATGGAGGTTGGGTGCATAAGGGAGCTTAGGGTAAAGGGACTAGGGTGCAGGAGGGAGTTTGGGTGGAGGAGGCAGTTGTGACCTAGGGCAAGAGACTGGAGTGAAGGATTTTGAGATGTGACCTAGGATAGGAGGGGATTATGATCTCGGGCAGGAGATTGGGGTGCCAGATCTGGGAGGCGTATGGGTGCATGTGGAGTAGCGGGGAAGGTGTAGCACGCAGAGGGTTGGGGAAGGGCAGGGCTGGGGTGCCAGAGGCAGGTTCTGGCCAGGAGACTTACCAGCCAGCAGCCAAACCAGCCTGCCTGCATGCAGAGTTTTAAATTTTTCTGCCTGCTCAGCTATGGGCTTGAGTGAGTAACTGAGCAGGACGGTGGTTGTGCTTCATGGCTTCCTGTTATTCAAACAGGCAGCTTCCATTGACCAAATGGGATTGTACTGGGGGCAGACACACTGTCTGAATCTTCCCTCTCCACTATGGACTCAAAGAAAAAGTGCCCCACAGCTGTGTTTGAATGGTGTGTGGAGCAAGCAGGGGAACCCACCTGGGGCTTCCCACTGCCTCCGTGGGCTTTGATCCGGTGGCTTGGCCGGCTGGATGCAACCCGTATTTTGCCCAGGCCTGGCTTAGGGTGACCCTCAGCATGCAAATGAATGACTTACCTATGCTGTCCCCAATTTGGTCTGATGAAGTGGGTTTTACCCACGAATGCTTATGCCTAATAAGTCTGTTAGTTTCTAAAGTGCCACAGAACTCCTTGTCATTTTTTCAGCTAAGTAGGCATAAGTAGCCACATAGGACTTTTATGCAAGAAGTTCTCCATTCCTTCCCCCCTGTTCCAGGAAAAAAAGGTTTTTCATTTCCAAACCAGACAAATTTTATCCTCCTCACTTGTGCCCACAGACGTTCTGTGGCACTGCCTCAGTTACACATCTCATCTTAATCAAAAGGTCTGTAAAAGAGAGAGGCACACTCAGGCTGGTCTAAGATTCAAATTGACTGATTGCATTTGCTACAGCAGATATCTGGTGTAGTAAATAGAAGCAACCACAGCTAAAACGTAACATTTCCAGTAAGTATCAGCCATCAAAAGCTTTTGTTGAATTGAATAAATCCAGACTGAAATTGTCAGATTTAAAGTCAGTCTACCACTTTAAACACATTTTCTCAGACAACAATCCACTTGACTGAGGCTATTATAATCTGGTGTGAACTGTTTGTCTCCCGACAATTTGTCTTATTTGCATCCTTCAAAAATCATCGGATTGTATGTGCGTGCATGTGTATCCATGTGGAGCCTTCCCAGCAGCAATGCTAAAATGGAATACTACATATTTACCGCCAGTAGTCACAGATGTAGAGCCAAAAAAAATTACAACAATATTTTGAAAGCAGATCTGACAGTTAAGTGAAAAAAAAAAAGAAGCTCAGGAGACTAGATCTAGAGAAAGTTTAACAGGGTAGGCAGGATCGGCTGTGTTGTCAAATTGAATGGGAAGGCAGCAGGACAAAATGTTCACCAGGAGCACTGAGGAGGAGAGGAAGGAGGAGGTTTTGTTGTTGTTTTGACAGAACAATCCAGTGTGACTCTCAAACAGCCATGACTGACTGATTATAGGAATAAAGAATGGGATGCACATAGCTAGTTTAATATTAATCGGGCCAGAAAACACGGAATTAGGCATCTAAATATTCCACTTTAATTAACCAATGGAGCAACATCAACAGGAGAAACTGAGGGAATCCGACCTCAGAATTTTCCATAGCTTGGTGGCTAGGAACCTCAGATCCCTAGCACTTGCACTGGGGATCTCCTGTGAGAGTGCCCTATCCACCAAGCTGAAGATAAGGGAGGTCCTTCCTCTTCCCCCCGCCCACAACCTGTTTTTCTTTTTGGATCCCACATGGGCAGCCAAGCATCCGTGTCGACCCAGTTCGTGGATCACTAGCCAAGACAGGTGCCTCCAGGCAGCTGACTTTGTGGATCACATTGGAAGGGGCCTTTCTCTCCCCATTCATTGTACAGGGAGCCTAGATGCCTACATTGGCTTTGTGGCTCTCGGCGTTGTTCCAGTGATTTTCTAGGCACTATGAAGGCGTTGTAATACCTATGCCTGTTCACGGATCTCATCCACAGTCCTCTGCCTTGAAAGACTGTGAGCTATGGCCCAAAGAGTACCCAGAAGGCACGCTAGATAGTTCCAGCCATGAGAACTGTGTTTCGTTTGGCATTCCCCTTTAGGAAAAAAAAAGCAGACGTTTCCTAGCAATAAACAGGAGCCTTGACAAGTTGAAAGCCTAACTAGGAGGGAAGCGGTAAAAATATACACAGACTGTCATTGCCACTCTCAGAAAACCACTTGTCTACGAAGTTTGTTTTTCCTTAAGACATTTGGGCTTTTTTTCAGTTCATGGGAGCAAGTTATCCAAATGGACCTTCATGTTGCCAGTCTGAGTTGCAGCAATCTTGGTGAGGCATCATAATTAGAGGCGGTTACAGTCCTGGTAATCTGAGTGGTCATTTTAAAATGATGTGGTAGCCATCGTTGCTTTCGGCTGTAATAGTGAAAAGCGTTTTAGTGCACAGATTTTTATTTTATGTTAACTAAGTGAAGAAATGTAACCTTCTGGCCTTTTCTCTAATGCAGTTTTACCCTCTGCTACCACGACAGATGAATAAGGATTAATACTGAACATTCAAACAAAAAATACAGTTTCAAATGGATTTTAATAAGAGATTACAGGCTAAATTTTGACCATTTACACAAGTGTATCTCAATGGACTTAGGCCAAACTGATGCCAGTAATAGAGACTATAAACCAGATCCTCACCCACTGAAAACTGGCTTCCATGGAGCCCAGCTGGTTTATACTAACTGAGGTTTGGGCCTTTGAATTAAGTGGCTTTATACACCACTTAAATTCAGTGTAACTGAGAGAAGAATTCCATTTCAGTGGAATAAAGCCAGATTTATAATCAAGTAATGAAGAGCAGAATTTGGCCCCAATATTTATTTTTATGCATTCAGCTGCCACTCCAGTTTTGCTAAATGCTAGAGATGCAAATCAGAAAAAGAGCCCTTCCCGGATAGCTTAGAAGTGATTCAGGACTTCTAAAGCTTCATGAAGAAGCTAGTCTTCATATTCATTTACCTGTATATTCATTCTCAGGCCAGGTCTACACTATATGAGAAAGTCAACTGAAGATCTACAACTTCAGCTATGAGAATAGCATAGCTGGAGTCAACGTACTTTCAGTCACATTTCTGCTGTGTCCCCATTGCAGGAAGTCGCTCCCATCAACTTCCCTTACTTCTTGCAACCCCATGCTGTACCAGGGTTGATGGAGGTACCATCACCGATTTAGCAGATCTTTGCTAGACCCACTAAATCAAACCCCGGAAGATCAATCTCCGGAACATGGATCTTAGGATAAGAGTAGACATGGCCTCACCTGGCCTCAGATTTTTATAGCGGAAGATACTATGGTTCTTCATAAAATCCTTCATTAAGAGGAATAATTATTGACACCTCTGTTATGTCTAAATTTATCAAAATATGGATTTAAGAGTGGATGAGAAAGATTTTTAGTCAATTAATTATTTAGACTTTTGCAGTGTCATGTGTTACTTGTTATTTAAATGTACACGGCCAACCAAGGAAACCAAAACTTCATTTACAGAACTTTTGGTTATTTGGATCAGCCACATCCCACCTTTTCATTTCTCAATTTCTTCCCCTCC